CGATTATCTCATTGCGACGATTTCTCTCAGAGGTATTTGCTTTTGCCCAAATCAACAGATACTTCCATAATGTTAGGAAAACTTCCAGAATTGATTTTATTATAGGCGAAATGAGTACTTAGACCTTTATTTCTGACCGGTAAGCTGAATTGGGAGCTGGTCCCAAATATAGCCAAGTCATTATAGATTGATAAATTTTTTCGTTTGACCTTTACATTTCCACCATTTCTTTATCAATGAGATCAATTCGTCCATGAACAAACACTCTTCCAAGTAAATGGCAATTTCTGGATTGGGGTACTGAGTAACATTGGAGATATCAGGCTAAGAAGTTGGGGTAAATTTTTCACTCTTCAAGACGGCGCAAAACGTCCTTCGAACGTTGAGATAACTTGTCATCAAAATATGTCATTTCCCCCATTTTTTCCAATAAATGTAAAGAAAAAGGGTAGATTTTTTTTATTAATTTCAAGAGATGTTAAAAAATCTTTACGACAGGACTCGAGATGAAGTCATAAGAACACCTTCGATACGCCATGTTGCCGGGCAAGTATGGGCAGACTAGGCCGGCTTCATCGATAATATCCCAAGCAAAAACAATTGCAACTTTTTAATACCCATTTCGTGGTCAGACCCTAAAGTCACCCTTCCTGCCAAATTTCAGCCAAATCGGTGTGGTTGAGTGGCAGCGATTTTTTGAAAAAGTTCGTAATTTACGGATTATTGCTCTTAAAAATTACTTTATTTCGACAAAAACAGTTTAATTTTTCCTTTTTTTTATTGATACCATTCATCTTCAATGTAAATTTAACTCACGCTCTATTTCTTTTTCATCTTTCTTGTAGCTGGCGAGCTTAAGCGATTTGAAGGGTTTTGCTGGAAGGCAAATCTTTTAATAGATACTAGAGCGCTTGCCAAACTATTTTGTGTTTTCCACAATAGCCTATATTTCTATAGATTAATAGTTTTCCTTTGTATGTTTAGGAAAACTAGCAAAATTAATAAACTTTTGCGGAAAAAATTTAAAAAGATTAAAAATATTATTTTCCTCTGCATCATTTAGCATGTTCGTAAAAAACTCTGTGTCGGAAATGAGACTAAAGAATCTGCTTTGTTCCGAAACTTCACGTTTCATTTATAAAATTCACTTGATCTGTCCTCTCCCGTCTCATGCTCTGGTCTCTCTCATTTTAAAGATATAATATGATCCTGTTATTCAATTATCTGACATTTATCGCAAAAAATCAACCGGAAATCAATTAACGCTGAATAATCTCTCACACTCCCCTGTTTTTTTTGTTTCACGGAGAAAAAACACTAGAATGGCACACTCGATAAAAATTGAAATTCAATGAACGAGATGGAAAGTTAGTCCAGTATATCAGTTCAGTGTTCCTAAATATCTCTAATCAGCATCAATGTGTGAATGCGACGAGGAGCGGCTACCGCTGCATTCCTCCTGGGCCTGAATGTCGGGGCTCCGGGGTTGAGTTGCGGAGGAGTCTGTACATTCTCCCGATCGCAGGACAGCTCCAGTGGGTAAAGGTGTCATACTGTCCGTTCGAGTGTTCCTTTCCCCGCTCGAAGTTTGGCAGCTCGAACCATTCTGTTTCGTCCCGAAATCAGATCTTCCACGAATCCAATTGTCCATTTATTGCGATTTCGTTCCTCGTCCTTGATGATGACGGGCGTGGTTTGACCCTTGTGTTTCATCCGGAGTCGTTCTCTCAACCCTCGTAAATATTCGGTAGTCCACCTGGTCCACAAAGCCTGCTTGCACCTTCGCAGATATTTAGCTCTTCTGTCGGATCAAATTCTCTTAGATGGTGTGGTTTCAGTTCTGGTGGCTAGTTTGATCGAAGAAATAGCAGTGAGTTAGGGGTATATACATAAAGGGCGATTATTCAAAGCAATCTCCACATCCAGTACGACTTCACACAGCTCTGTCCAGGTCAACATTCCGCATCCGATAGTCTTGTTTAAAGCTGTTTTGACCAGTCCGATGAGGCGCTCGAACTGTCCTCCCCACAAAGCGGCGCGGCTGAGGTTGAATTGCCGCTTAATGTTCTCATGTACTCAGTAGTCTTGTGTCTTCTCGTCACGCATAATTTGTTTGAGCCACTTCTCAGCGCTAACAAGGGTTTTGCCATTGTCGGAATATATCTTCTCCGGACGCCCGCGGCGCGCGATGAGCTGTTTTAAACTTCTTGGGAAGTCACTGGTCGCCAGGTTTGGTAGTACTTCCAGGAATAGTCCTTGTGTAAGACTGCATGCTCACAATGCAAGATAGGCCTTTCCTTCTGTTTTGGCTCTGATACGGTACTTGATGGGCCCTGCAAAACCAGCTCCGATAACCTCGAATGGGGTGCTCCCCTCTGTGCGGTCAGTGGATAGGAGTCCAGGAGGTGGTGTTGCCAGTGCAATAGCTTAACTTGCAATTTCTTTGTAATCGATTGCGGAGGTCTGCGTTAAGAACATGTTGCTAAGATCTAACCCCGTTCCAGGAGACAAAATCGTCCAGCCGAACTTCGTATATTCTGCTACTAGTTCTCCCGAGCACCTAACTCTTGGTCTTGCCCCTGTTTTGATCTTAGCGTACTCGTTTGCTCCAAGGATCAGATGAACAGTCAACATCGCTTTCTTGTCGTTATCATTTGTGGTTACGCCCTTGAAATAAGAAAAATTAAGCTACGATTTCTGCGCATTTTGGGTTTTCCAATGTCAACAACTCTTTGAGGTCGACTTTGTTTACTTCGGCTTCCATGGTAAATTTGCCATCTACGCTTCGAATTTGTAGGCCATAGATGTCTACCGCTTTGTTTGAAGTACCAAACATCATTTCGATGCACTTGAATTGTTGACGGAGAGGACGCAAATGAAAACGGTCCAGAAGCGTTGATGAAGCGTAGGAACTTCCGGCTCCCGTATCCAACAGTGCTCGGCACTTAACACCATTCAAGTCAACTGTAACCATAGGATACACGGACCACATTTAGTATCTGGGCAACCGAGCTCGATTCATGTTCACCGTACTCGAATAGCAATTCGAGTACCATTTCAAACCAACCTCGGTTCAACGAGCTCGAAATGCAGTCAATTCTATTCGAGCTCGATTCAACTATATCGTGCTCGATTAAAAAGACGAGCTCGACGAACTCAATCTGCTCTTATCGACCTCAGTTACTTTTATCGAGCTCGGTTTGCCACGTATTCTATCGAGCACGGTTTGCCTCGCATTCTATAGGTTTCATATTGAGCTCGATTTGGTATCGAGCTCGGTTTAATCATCATTCAGCAAATGAGAGGTAATCTGGTACCAAGACTTGGGAGGGAGCATGGGACGAGCGAGAGTGGCCATGTTTCTGGCAAATTTGTCGAGTTTAGTTCGTGAATTCGGGACTTTTTAGGAGTATGTTTTCGGTCGAATTCGAAAAAAAAGAAGAAGAGTGGCAGAAGAAGAGCAAAGAATGATTTATACTGCTAAGGAGATGAAGGAAATGACACTAAGGTGAGCATTGGCTCTTTACGGGAGGGTGTTCCGAGTTGCTGGTTCATAGTTTCTAGTAACATTTTGTTCAGTTTCAAACTTAAGCTCAATCCTGGAGTGTACGTTTCTTGGTTATTTTAAATCTCAGTTGTGTAATAAGAAAGTGTCTCCCTCCATTTTACCAACCCCAAGTTAACCCCACAAAAAAGTGTACATAACAACATGCAACAATACACACATTCTATTTTTATTATATAAGCTCAATACACTTTCGTGTTTCTATTTTAATTGTTTTTTTTTTTAACAAGGAAAAGGAACAGAACTCTAATGAAATATGAAAATCTTTCGGAGAATATGACAAAAAAAAGTCTGAAAAGTAATGTATGTTCATCCCTTGCAATCAAATATTAAGAAGAATAATATTAACTATATTGAACATATGCATTATCAGAGACCATGGTTGATTGACGACATTTCACGAAATTAAGAAAGTGTGGCGGGCTACTGTAATTGTTAAAAGAAGTTAAAGTACAGTTCAAGCTGTGTTTATCAGTGAGAGAAATGTATTTTTGAATCCAGATTGATTAAATGTTGCTAGATGAAGACAGATTTGCCAATTTTGTGAAAAGTGAGTAATTTTCAGGAATTGGTTTGATAGTTGAGAGCAAAGAGGTTTCCATTATTAACAGGTCTTAAAATGTTCAATCCAGTTATGAATGTGTTAATAGATCCGCCAAAAAGCCATTAAACAACTGCAACAGTTCACTTTTAACAAAATAATCAATGCTTGTTGATCTACCTTGGTTTTTAAACGGCCTGGCCTAGCCCTATTTATAGACTGCAAAAGCCATATCTTTAATTGGCAGTCATGACAAAAAAACACAAGGAAGACATTTTGGGCTGTACAATTAGACATTATAAAAATGCTAGTTCACTTTTTTTTTTAACTGAATTGAACATTTTATGACCTGTTCATGAAATTAATACAAGTTGAGGAGGTGAATAATATATTAACTAATATGAAGTCTGCCATTTTCGTCGTTCTCAATTCCAGGTGCTGTCACAATCCTTTAAAAACAAAATCAATGTATTTACAAATCATCATAGCATTGTTCTGCTAATTATAATTGTAAATCTCTTGTCAGCATGTTTGATTTCAGGAACAAAAGCCAACTGTTACTAGCCTATGTACATAATCCATTTTTGATATTCTTGTTTTTCCTTGACAGACTTTTGATTGAAAGCTTTTCACTGTTGCACACATGACATAAAGAGTTTAAATTTGTATTAAATGCTGCAGCATTTATCTGTATCACACTTTTACACTCTGTGTACTCATAATCTTACCGAATTTCTCTTATGTTGAAGGGTCCTTTTTGCCTTCTTTTCTTTTGGCTGTTGTCCTCCTGTCCCTCCTTCTTTTCTTTGTACCTTGTTCTTTTCTTTAATTCTCTCTCTCTCCTTTCATTTCCTCATGTTCTTTTTCTACTACTCCAGCTGGTATTCCTCCATTCCCTCCTTTATCTCCATTTTCCAATTTTTCTTCTTCATTACTTCCTCCTTTTTCCTCTTCCTTTTCTTTTTCCTGCTTTTCTTCTTGATCTTCTTCCTTGGTCCCTTCTTCTTTCTCTGCATCTCCCACAGCTTGGCTTTCATCTATGATCATACAGAAAATGTTGAATTACTTGGCTCTATGTGTTTCTTGTTCACAATTTTTATGTTTAGCTGAAACCCTGAGTCTGTTATTATTCAAACAAAATAATATTTTGTGGGTCACTGTCATATCATGAACTATGTATCACCAGGGGGTGGTAATCGTTCTACAAGCATTTTCACTGGTGGACTAAGAATGCTATTTCTTTTACAGGTTAATGAAAATCAAGGTTTTCTTACCTACTACAGTTGCAGAAAGGTTGTTGTTGTTGTTGTTGGCAGGAAAATTCCCAAAGAAGGACACCTGCAAGTAAAACAAAGGGAAGGGAAGTGTGCTGCTCAAAGGAGTCCTGCGAACTATCATAATTAAAATACACATTGTTCCTTTGAGCATCACACCATCCTTCATTGATTAAATTTACAAATTTTAAAACGCTTCATACACTTTATACAGTAAAACTGACTGCTACTATCCATGGAATTGCTTAAACAATAGAACAAGTGACATTGTTTGTGTCAATGCTTGTGAAGAGGGAGGCATGTCTGTCTACCCCAAGTGTCAATGCTCACAAAGACCCTTGTCCCAAGGAGCTTTTCTGTCTACCCCAAGTGTTGTGGCTAACAAAGTGCCTCATCCCAGTGAGCTTTTCTGTCTACCCCAAGTGTCGAGGCTAACAAAGAGCCTCGTCCCAAGGAGCTTTTCTGTCTACCCCAAGTGTCGCGGCTAACAAAGAGCCTCGTCCCAAGGAGCTTTTCTGTCTACCCCAAGTGTCGCGGCTAACAAAGAGCCTCGTCCCAAGGAGCTTTTCTGTCTACCCCAAGTGTCGCGGCTAACAAAGAGCCTCGTCCCAAGGAGCTTTTCCGTCTACCCCAAGTGTCGCGGCTAACAAAGAGCCTCGTCCCAAGGAGCTTTTCCGTCTACCCCAAGTGTCGCGGCTAACAAAGAGCCTCGTCCCAAGGAGCTTTTCTGTCTACCCCAAGTGTCGCGGCTAACAAAGAGCCTCGTCCCAAGGAGCTTTTCTGTCTACCCCAAGTGTCGCGGCTAACAAAGAGCCTCGTCCCAAGGAGCTTTTCTGTCTACCCCAAGTGTCGCGGCTAACAAAGAGCCTCGTCCCAAGGAGCTTTTCCGTCTACCCCAAGTGTCGCAGCTAACAAAGAGCCTCGTCCCAAGAGGCCTTTCTGTCTACTCCAAGTGTCAATACTCATGAAGAGCCACATCCTGAGGAGCTTTTCTGTCTACCCCAAGTGTCGCGGCTAACAAAGAGCCTCGTCCCAAGGAGCTTTTCTGTCTACCCCAAGTGTCAATGTTCACAAAGAGGCTCGTTCCAAGGGGCACTTTTGTCTACCCCAAGTGTGGATGCTTATGAAGAGCCTCCTCCCTAGGGGTATGGTTGACCTTTTACCCCTAAGGGTTTTGTCTGTCCACTTCAACTGTTAATGTGTACAAGGAGACTGGGAATAAGTGGATTTGTCTTTCCACCCCAAGTATTGGTGAGGGGATTTTATAATGTTATTCTCATAGTCAGGGAACAAGGGATGTCAATCTATCCCTATTGCATTAAGTAACATGTCCTCATAATTGTGTACACTTTACATGTTCCCAAATGGTGTTCCTCAATAATTGAAATGAAAACAAGACCATTACTTAACTTGATTTTTTTATGGTTGTGAGACTCATTGTTAGTAGAATTGCTTCTCTAAACTTGTATGTTCCCAAATAATACTCCTCAATAATTTTTATTAAAGCATGACCAAACTTATTGAAATGTAAAACATGAACCTTTTTTTAAGCTAACATGTCATTATATTTAAACATTACATGAATACATGATGCATACCAATGAGGGACCTGTTAGCATGCCTATCCTCCAAGTGTTGTATAAAGGGTAGCATGACCTCATATATTAATTAACAACCTATTTCTTACTTATTTTGCTAGGACTTAAATCATACAATGTGCTGGTGGGTAAGATTATAGACTTTTCGCAGGCGTGCATGCCATAATCAGCAAGGTAATGTGTAATTCAGTACAAGTCACTTTTTAAGTTTATAGTCTACAAGCTGGCATCATTCTGCTTTTGCTTCAAAATCCCAAAAAACCTGGAGCCAGGATGTGCAGAAAATGGTGTATGCACCACAGTTCACATGGAGCTGGAACTACTTAAGATGGCCACCAGTGCCTTGAGGAATGTAAATCATGCCCCTTGTTTAGGCTATTCTCTAATTAAACTAATTTTACTATTTAGAGACTATACAAGGTACATGAACCTTACATTCCCTACCTGCGATTGCAGTGATGAAGTTATCTCCTCTTCTTCCTGTGATAAATTTCAAGAGAAAAAAGTGTACTTTTTAGTTGAAGAATGAGTGAGGAGCTAGCTGCTGTCTTGACAAGAAAGTATTGGCAAGCTGATGTGAAAGTAAATGTTGTTCATTTGCTCCTAATTTAAGGAAGTACTTACTCCTTCTCCTACATCCAGGATCTCATGACCCTGTAATTGCTCACTGTGGCGCACCACTTGCTGCCTTCTCCATTATTATGAAGTGTAGTGGCAGGCCATCAAGAGATCCTGCCCAGTCATAGACTTCCTGCATAATTACAAAGACAAAATATTTGTATCAAGTACATGCAGAGTAACAGCTGGAATTGAGGTGGCATTGTTATGGTGGTGGCATAATGCACTCAGGAATCATGACCTAGCCATAAGATACATGTAGTAAACAAGGAAAATCCATGAGTGTGTTAGTGAAAGTCATGATCATCTGCTTTTGCCCCTTAGTGAGACTGTACTTAGGGGATTACCAGTGCTTAATTTAGTCAAGTGAATTAATAAACTAGCAGATGGTTATAATTTCAACCTGAATCAGTAGTAATTTCTCTAAAACTGTGACATTCTGGGTACATAAATATGAGTACTCTAATGTACCTGGAATAAAGCATTTGGCCTAAACCGCCTGCCAATTTTCTTATTACCACTGAGGCGAAGGATAATTTTTGTGTAGTCCTCGCCTGGTGGAGGAGATGCAACCCTTTTTTTCCTCTTCTGTCTGACCTAACCAAAAAAAAAAATTCAAATATTTCTGAATGTAAACTGGTAAAGGGATTTTTCTGATAACACCCCTCCCCTCCATCTGAAAATTCCAACTGGGAGTAGTTCTCACTGAAATCACCCTTGCTGTTGATTAAACCTGGTTTTCATCTGAATGAACCTCGTGTGAGTGTTTTCAAATTTTAATTATTGTAATTCAGCTGAATTTGACTCACAAAAACATAATTTGGCTAGTTGAATCTAAGTTGTGATTTGCAGCTCCTCTAAGTTCTTGTACTCTCCTTTGGAAATTCAATTGAAATAAGTTCCTTTCCTGTTAGGTATGTAAAGGCATGAAAAAATGAATAAAGGAATGTATTCACATAATTTTCCATGAAAATGATGCCTTAAGGTTATACCTCAGCAGCATCTCCTTCATCTTTACTTTTCTTATCTTTCTTTTTCCTATCTGTCCTCTGTTCGCCGGTGGGCAAGTTGTTCCCTGTGTAAACAGCGTAACATGGTTAATGTGAAGTGTTAAACAGAGGTGTGGTGTATTGCTCTGTAAGATTTCAATAATAGTTCTTAAAAAACAAAATTACCTTTGCAACACAAGTGATTGGATCATCATGGTGACCCTCTCGCATACGCTTCCAAGGCTAGGGTTGTTTGCATCCGATGCTAAAAATGATTCAAGAGAGTTTTTTATTATAGGCCAATTTTAATCTGGATTTTCACCATGTGCAAAGCCTCCTATGAAAATAAGTTTGAGAGTCTGAGACTTGGACCAGCTGTTCGGAATAGAAGACAGGATGAAATTTGCTTGATAATGAAAAAAACCACAGCATTTGTAGGCATTTACACGTCGCATTCATTTTTATAGCAGGTTTGGCTCATCATCACCAAATATGTAGTTGTCATAAAGGCCATTGAAAAAAGTGACTCCATGAAAAATCTGATCTGAAATCATCTCTTTAACAGGTTATTACCTTGTATGCGTGCAACAAAGACTGGATTTTGATGAGGAGAGGGCACTAACAAGATGATCTGGTCTTCATTGACTCTTTCATGTACATATAGCCCAAGGACTGTTTCATGAAAACAACATTTGATCTTTAAATTAGAGTTATATTGCCAGTTATTAGTGTAGTATAGTCTTACAAGCATACAATCATTCTGTTGTGAGTGAATTGCATTTCAAACAGTTTCACATGTAAGGGTTGTTTTGTGTAGTTGGTCAGATGAGCAAAGGCAAGAAGCAGTTTACTTAATCAGCTTTTAGCAATACTGCACATAATTAATAAACTTAACAATGACAAAAATTAATGTTTTTTTAGGTTTTGACCATAAAGAAAAGTAACTATTTGATCCTACCTTTCCTTCCTTCTTCTGATGAGGTTTCAGCTCCCCAATAGAGCCATTCAGCCTCATTGATGGAACCTACTGCCATCATTCTTTGAAGAGCCCTTGCCAAAGTAATAATAACAAATGGAGGATTTCATTTTTATGCATTAATGACCAATGTAAGCCAAGTAAATTTCTGTCTAACCACTTGGCTTCTACAGCCCTACCTGCCTCATCTGCATTATTTGTACAGATTGTCAATACCTTAGCATGTCCTCCCTTAAATCATTCGGGCCATTTGGGTCCAGAAGGACAGCTACTATTGGGTGCCTAGCCTCTTGTGCTTGCCAGCATAACTATACAAAAAAAAATATATTTATAATAAAACCATCAGTCAATTTTAAATGGTTAAAGAGCAAACAAGCAAAATGGTTTTTGTCATTTGACAGGAATGAATTTACAATCTAAGTGCTTTATTCTGTAGGTAAATTAGGAATTTGGTATAAATTTAATACTGAGTAAAACAGAATTGAATATTGGCCTGTAACATCATAACAATTGCATTATAGTCTTTACTTAATGTAAATAATTCTTTTTAATAATTGTATTTAGTCACCTCTTCAAAAGAATGATTTAGGAGTGGCAGCATAGGCAGTTCCACATTGTTTCTAGCCACCTCCATTATATTCTCGCACCTCCAAACCTCACTGGTTCTGCTTTGAGTGTTGCAGGGAGCTCCTAAAATAAAAATAAATAATAATTAGTGATCAAGTGTCCAGAAGGAAGCACAACTGGTTGAGTGTTGTAAGAGGGGTGTGGTAGGTATTTAATCATAAAGCAGGATAAACATACATAGAAAAGTATTGTGCATGTACAAGTTAATTTCAAAACAACACCAAATCAATCTGGATTTAGCTAAGAAAACTTAATCTGAAGAGTGCCGCACATGTAAACAAAATGAAAAAACAAAGTCAAATATTCAATTGATTGGTTCATGTTCTTAAATTCATGCTTTAGTCTACTTCATATTTTGCACTCTGAAAAGAGTTCTGCAAATAAACTGGTTTCAGTGCATTGAGGCAATTTAACTATGTGCAGTGTATCATTTGGCATGTATTTGCAGTTTTATTTTTACATGTCCTGACTTTTCACTAGGTATCTAACCTGTATATTTGAGTCTAGTGTGAAAATAATTTCACATTATGCTTTTTTTTTCTTTTATAAATATTTGACCAGGTGCATGCAACCTGTGGAAAAGATCAGTTGTGAACAGTTCCTTCATTTTGTCGATAATTATCCTCCAATCAGTTCTCTGGGGAATCCTCATTGTCTTTTTGTCTTTAAAACAATCAGTTTAAACTTGTATCATTTTACCTCGTACACCATGTAAAGAGAGGTCTTCTGTAACTGTCCCAACTGTTAAAGCAATGAGATTTTAGGACATTATTAGACAATGGAGAAGAAATAAATATAAACAACCCCATCCACCCCCCAAAGAAAAAAAAGAAAAAGAAAACAAAAGTCATGATAACATCTTCATACCTTGCATTCCATCTCCATAAAATGGTTCGCCATGGAACCCTGAAAAACAATTATATCAGTGTTGAGCTGCACAGAGGTGCATTTTAATTGTCCACTCAATTTACTTGTCACACATGACACAAAAATAAGTTTTTAGACCATTTTCAGCTAAGCTTTGAAAAATACATGAGTACAGTGCTTTCTATAGCAAATTGGAGGAAAATCAAAATTATCACAATAATATTGAACCCTGCTTGCAGATGACAATGATGCCCTTCCATTGGGACCGGTCTCATCCACATGCATTTACTATGTCAAAACTGGCATTCTATTCTATTCTGAACAGCAAGTATTTTTCACTGTATTTAAATGTATACTAGATCAAGGGTTAATTCCACTTGCATTTGCTTAAACATCATTTTCTTGTCTGTTTTCATGGAGTTGCACAAACAGTGCATTTCATTAAGCCACGTTTGTAATGTTTATCTCTCACTACTGAGATCTAATTGTTAATTCTCCTTTTGAGTCGCTAGATGTTTCCCTGTAATTTAGTGATGAGAATTTGGTGTTAGATCAAGATAACAACTTCTACCCAATAACTTTAAGTATTCTCATTAGCTGTTTGCAGGATAATGTATGGATAGCATAGGGAGAAGTCACATTTTAATCACTTCTGGGAGTTAAAGGATTCATATTAATTCACTTATTTTAAAATACTACCTGATGTGCTAGAACTAGTTGGCCTTGTTGAAGTTGATGTTACCACAGGTCGCCTTGCCTGTCGCTGGAACACTTGGATGAAAATGTAAGGGAACATCACTATATTGTGATTACAGCCTGACAGTTACTCGGGCAAGGATTGCTATAGCCCACATTTAGCCAAATCTCACTTTGCTGGAAATTCAGGGTGGGGAATAAAAGAAAAAAAGAAAAATCTGATCGTGGCAATAAACACATTTCTTATTTGACTGTCGCACTTACCTTGGGGAAAAGTTAGAACATTAGTATCTCCGTTGTTTTCAAAAGGACTCTGTAGCAATTCCTCATCTGTGGTAAATTGACAAACAGTGTTGTGTTTAAAATGCAGTTCAGTGAACATACAGTATCATCTCTGGATAGCAGGTATATTTATTGTCAAGAGCATGGGACAGAAAAAATCTGACTGCAGATGACATTGGAGCCTGTTACCATTTGCACTCTGGAAGGATACTATTATAACCACTAAACTACAGGAGGCTTGAGGTGAGCAAGGTCACTCAGTATTATGTCATCTCTTTAAGCTACCAATCTCTGTTACCATGGAAGAAAGTAGTTATCTGCCTTTTAATTTCATTGTTTTTGGTGGTTATTATGCTATATCCTTATCTTTGAAGTTTCTTTTCTTTGTTAGATCATGTCTGTATATGTGTTTTCTCAGCTCCTTCCAAAATGTTAGTTTTTCAAATCTCTCTTGAACCCCTTATGAAAATTGTATGTTTGTCCAATGGAATCAGCAGGTGTTATTTATAAAGCCACATTCAAAACATCACAACTGGATTCATGGTCTACAATCTTACCATCTGAATCATCAATTTGGAGTTGATATACATCTACATGTAGAAGACAAAACAAAATACTCACATTTAGCTCAGTGCATAGGTTTTAAGCATTCCATAGGTGCAAAAGCCAAGTTTTATTCATACTTTAAAAAGAGGAAAGTGCTACATATGGCTTTTGAAAAAGTTGGCGTCTAATCATTCATTCATTGTTCAATCAAGTTCTTGTTTTCTTCTATCTCATGCAGAATATTGAATATACATTTGTGGGTAAAGTAGTAAAACTCACCAGCCCTGATTGAGTTTCTGGCCATCTGGGTAAGGTACCTTCTAGTTTCCCTTAAAAAAAGTAAAAATTTGTATAGGCTAATTTTGCACAAATTGTTACAATTATCTTAACACTCCAGGCAAAATAATATAACTTAAGAATGCTAAATTCGTGTTGATTGAAAATCAAATTGTCAGACAAAAATCCCTTACACAACAGCATTGAAATTTCCCATCAGTTCTAAAATTAACACTTTTAGGAAAAAATACTTTAGGCAAAACTTACACTGTGCACTCACAAATTAGCATTTGTCTGTTGGATTTTTCTGTTTGAAGTGGCCAATTTCTTGATTCCATTTTGTTACTTTTTCATTTTTTGTTGTGAAATCATTATTATGTGTAACTCACGTCCATTTGTTGGTAGAGATAAGCTGGATGCAGCTGGGGTCACTGTTGGCTGTCTGGAACTTGCATTGGTTACAACAGTTGCCATTGATGGGGATGCAGCATTGACTTTGGATAGATCAAAATGATAACATCAGAGGTAATTAAGCAGTCTATGATAGCAGTCATTAGTTGCTTGATTCAGGTGTTGAAATCAAGGAGTAATGATGGATTTCTTGTCACAAGCCGGGAAATTCTATGGGCACCACCTCCCCTATCTTCCCCAGCAGGGCTCGCAAAAATGAATTGAATTGTTAGGAAATTATGGACGCTTTGTTGTCACTGATGAAATCTAATCTTTTAGAGGGTAATATTTGATTGGCTGATGTTTCTCTGTTGGTTAAAAATACATTTCTATCTTGTGGTCATGAGCAGTTTTTTTCTCCCTTTTTCCAATACCAACCCATGAAGGGTCCTTATTGGAAGTTCTTTAGGGAGGTGGGAAAGATGACAAAAGGTACAAATTTCAAGAAAAATAAGTGAATAATCTGATTTTTCCTGCCTGAAATACTCAAGTTGGAGACTAACATGTTAGATGCTTAAACTGGTGGCCTGAGAAATTGCTAGCTCTCTTTATTTGTGGGGAAAAAAGGCTTGTTCACACTATTTAAAAAGTCTCTCTTTTTGGTTTACTATGTTGATAATTCATTTGTTTCTATATTTAACTCACATCCAGTTGAAGGTAGGGACATGCTGGACACAGCTGGGGTCATTATAGGCCTTGTGGAACTTGAATTGTTGTGCTGTTGTGCTGTAAATAAATAAGCAAATATCAGAAGTAGAACATAAACCATTAAGAATCCTATCTGGTAGGAGGCTGACCATTTGGCTAAGTACATACACTATGGGGTCAAAGGGTTAAACTCACAAACTACTGAGAAAAAATCCAGATAGCTAGAGGACTGGAACCTAGGACCACTAGATTTCAAATCTAGCACACTAAATCACTCAGCCATGCGGCCTCCTGACCTGACCTGTTAAAGAGTGTCATTATTAGTTAATTTTCTAAGCTTGTTTTGAAGTTGAAATGTTGAAATGGTTTGTTTTGAAGTTGAAATGATGTATTATTGAAATATTTAGTTCAATTTTATTTTACCAGTGACCTCGCCCCAATGCAAATACTTTTAGCTGGGGATGGAAACATGAATCAAATGTTCAAGAATTAATTTGCCTACTGTAGTCATATTGCCACACAAAATATATTCTTGTGTTAGAAAACTTAACTGACATAAGTGCGGCCTTTTGAATATGCTGATTTAGATTCAATGTGTCCTTTCCTTCAATTGGACTCTGTTAATATGTGTTGGCAAATTAACTAATTAAAGAACAAAGTCATCTCTCATTTAATTAATTTGCCTCAACACCATTTCAACGTTTCATATTAGACTAATATGTCAAATGCTCAAACTGTCATAGCTCATCACAATACTAAAAAAGTCTTTGTTTAATCTATGTTTATGAGGTTAGTTACTTCTGTTTTACTGCAACTGCCATGACACTGTTTAATATTTAACTCACATCCATTTGTACTTGTAGGAAGAGGTAAGCTGGACACATCTGGGGTCATTATTGGCCTTCCAGACCTTGCATTAGTCACAATAGTGGCTGTATTGTTGGCTGTGGACGGATCAAAATGTTAAGATCAAAGGTAAGCAGTCAATAATAGCAGTCAACAGATGTTTGATTCAGGTGTTGAAATCGAGGAATAATAATAGTTTTCTTCACGTTAAGCTGGGAACCCTGTGGACCCCACCTCCCTTATCTGCTCTCAGAGGTATGGTGTTTAGACACCCTGTTCCCCATAAATAAGTTTTTGGGGGTGGCGGGGTTGCTATAGGTTGGGATATAAATTGATTTTTTTTTTGAAAGAGGTTAAGAACTTTAAATTGGGGGGTGAAGCATCAGTTAGCCTTTGGTATTTTTTTTCCTTTGGGTATAAATTGTGACTTTTTCCATCAGTAAGGGTGGTGTGTCTATTAAATGGAATGGTCCTCAGCAATTGATGTCTATCTTCACTGATTTACTGTTTGCCTGTTATGGAATGTTAAGTCAACTTACATCCACTAGAAGAGGCTGAACTAGTATTTGCTTGGCTGTTGGAACTGACAGCATTGGCTGTGGATGAATCGAAATGATAACATCAGTGGTAGCTATAATAATTGTGTTTTTACGTAAGATGTCAATATAGTTATTCCAGTATTGTATTAATTAGCTTCATTGGGTTGTTGTTTGCATGTTCATGGAATGTTAAGTCAACTTACATCCACTAGAATAGGCTGAACTAGTATTTGCTTGGCTGTTGGAATTAACAGTGTTGGCTGTGGATGAATTGAAATGATAACATCAGAGGTGGCTATAATAATTGTGTTTTTTATGTCAGATGTCAATATTGATTCTATTATTGTATTAATTAGCTTCATTGGGTTCTTGTTTGCATGTTTATGGAATGTTAAGTCAACTTACATGCACTAGTAGAGGCTGAACTAGTATTTGCTTGGCTGTTTGAATTCATGGTGTTGGCTATGGATAAATCGAATAATAAGATTAGAGGTCGCTAGAATAATTGTGTTTTTTATGTTTTTCTACGTTTCCTAGCGTGAAGATGGAAACTCTGCACCAATACATCACAGGCTGCTTTAAGGCCATAGTTCAGTTTTTTTTTTGCAAGCCAAGAGGGAAAGTGGCCCATAAAAAAAAGTATGTCTCCAGGATAAGGAATTGAAGGAATAGATGTGCTCTTTAAGAGGGAAACTTTTTGAAAGTACATAATGTCTGTTGCAATTTCACGAGAAATATACTCGACAAAATTACTTGAAGTCATGAGCCAATTTCTTTAGAAATGAAATGTAAACTTTATCGCAGATCAAATAACAATGGCTTGAACGAACTTTCTTGGGTTACGAAGTACAAAAAGAAGTGGTTGGAGCGTGTTTAGAAGTGTGGGGAGAAACACTCACTCATGGCTGATTTTTCTTCTCACACTTTTCGACTGCACTTGTCACTTAGTTGTGTGCTTTATCACAATACCATGCATGGTCAAGGCTTTTGTATTAGTATTCAAAGTATGACATAATCATTTGACGTAGCTTATAGATCATAGTTAATGTTTATATAATATGCAATTAGCAGTCAAAGAAATACCAGGAGGGAGGTACAAAAAAACTTTCTTCTTTCTGTGTCCGCCAAAATGCTCTAAGATCTGGGCACCACTGGGAAGGCCGTCGGCCACCTTCATCATGGCATGGCCACGGGCATACGATTTAATAACTTCAAGACTGTGTAATGGAAAGAAAGGTGGAAGAAAATGTAAATTCAGTCAGAGCAGTGAGGATAACTTGAGTGGCATAACAGTGGAATAATGACATAATGAGACCTGTAAATGGGTCGAAGTAACTCTTTTTACATTTTGGAGGTATATGGTGTTAAAAACAACATCTGATGAGAGCTATATCATCAGCAAAGATTAGGCATCATGGGCAAGGTGAGCAAAGGGTCCTACCCATCTCACCATGCGCACCTCGTTGGAAGACGACTAGGGGAACGAAGCAGCCGCAATCTATTATGCTAATCGCTCTGACGAAGGGCTAACGCTCGAAACGTCAGCTTTTTAACCTTTACGGTGGCTGATTTACGTTTTCAACCCAGTTGTTAACACTAAATTACCTGCTATACTCTCCCACCGACGCAGCACCACAGTTTCTTTAGAAACTTACCCCTTTATTATTATTCAACTTCTGCTACATTAAAGGTGTCAAATAAATGATTTGGAAATCCTCGATTCTGCGTTGTTTCTTCAACTGTTTTTAGGCCTTTTCCCCCTTATTTTGCTGACTATCCTTTGCCTTGGTTATAACTGTAAGCGGCAACTGTGATTGACTGTTGTCATAAAAGCCGAGAAAGCTGTAGCGTTTCTGCTAAACGAGCTGTGGCGTCATGCTAAGGTCTTGTCATTTCGCGTTTGTGTCGTTTACAAGAAAGCTGCTTACTCTTAACTCAAACCATGGTGTTTTTTACTTAATGCGACTGCTATCTTCAAACTACGTTTCCTAGAATACTGTGAAGAATTGTACGTACCTTGCTAAGTCTTTCCCCGCTAAGGAAGGAAATGCGGCAGTCAGGTTGGTGCCGATGGCATCTGCGTCCTGGCTCTTTGAGAAAGAAATATCTCTTACTTTTCCCGTAGTCACCATTCGACCCAAATCAGCTTTGCTCGGTACAGCATTCAACCTTTTGTCTAAAAGGACAAAAGTTCTAGAAAGGGAACGAGTCGCGTGGCTCATGTTGACGATCTTGCCTGGTAAATCACAGGAGGACGAACAAAACAACCCAACGAGAAATCTGTGTCTGGCAACGCTCCGAAAGCGTGGGGTCAGTATGCGAGAATATAGAAAACTGATGCCACTTAATTAGTAACTTGAACGCCTTTTGTTATTTTCGGCGCGGCGTGTTTTAAAAGACAAAACTACAAAAGACTTTTATGGCAAGTAAGTGAATGAAGTCACTTATTAACTGTGCTGAAAACTGTAACAACTGTGCTGAAAACTGTCTTCAGGCAACTCTGCAAGCAGTCGTTCGCGTTATCTGGTCCTGAAATCGTACGAGCAATACGCTCGATGCATGATGCATCGGTAACCGGACGTTTCGCCTTACACCGCGGCCTACCGAAAAAAAGAACCCTCTACCCGTCTAAAATCATTACGTTCAGCCTTAAAGTTTTGATCTCCAGAAATGTTACAAGAATTTAGAGAACAAACTGTAATATAATCTCAACAAGCGCGCATTTCACAAGGTGCCTGTTCGCGGCTGGCCAGCTTGACTGTATTTTCCCCACCCAGAAGGAAGAGGAAATAGTAGACGGCTGCACACAGGCTAGTTCGCAGCCTACACACGACTTGTACTTTAAAGCGTCAAAAACAATGTTTCCCGATTTTCTCACGAAGGTGACAAGCCGTTCAACCAACTGAAAAAGTTCTACGTTTATTTCTGAATTTTTTATTTAACTACTTTATTAGAAGCTTGTCGAAAGGAAAGTGCGATCTTTTTTCCGCGTTTGTTTTTTTTTAAAATATCAGCTGCATTTAGAGTTTCGCGGAAGGACTTTGCCTTGTTCTCTTTGCTTTGTAAAGTTAATGAATAAGTCAAAAGATGATGCAAAACAAGGTGTGATAACTTTTTTCCTTTCCTTTGGAGCTATTGTTTTTCTGTTCCTCATTGTGTTGAGTTTTTTGTTCGGGTTTGCGTTCTTTGTTTTGTGACTTGTGAATTCCACAGGTCTCGCGCCGAAGACGAGCCCAAAAAAAGCTGCTACAACAGTTTCTTAGTTGAACTTCGCGCTCACTGTGAACTACGCTCTCGTAATTGAGAAGTCATGAATCTAAATGAATTTATAGATCTACAACGGGGTCCGCGTATGAACTTGATTCAGTGGCTACAACGGCGGTCTCTGTTGGCCGATACGCTTCGGTGTGCTCAATGTAACGAGGACATGGTACTGATACAGAGGAACGGCAATCATGTTGATGGGTACCTTTGGTAAGTCACTGAAGGGCATCTTTGAAAAATGCAAAAGGTCCGCGCAGTGTGTATTACCTCGCTCACTCTATTGTCCTCCTCCAATCTCTCATGATTGGTATTATGGCAAACTCTATCTGCAGAAGGTAATTTAGTGTTAACAACTGAGTTGAAAACGTAA